GGAACTTAACACATACTAGGACTGCTGCATTTGGCAGAATCTGGAACAGCCACACAATCTGATGAAAGGTGGGTGAGGAATCCCCAGCATCAGTGATATAGAGGCAGTTCCAGGCCACTTTCCCAGGTCCAATATAAGGGATGTAGCAGGGAGAGTGTGTAGCCAAAGGCCTAGTGAACACCTGCACTCCCTGGCATAGATAGCTGTCTGGTCAGCTAGCACAAACAAGGCTCTGAAACTTGTAACATTGGGTGAACTGGCCTATGGCCTCGGGATTAGACAAGGTATAGAGATGGTAGCCTCCTGAGTTCAGCTTTGCCAGCTCCCATGGCTGGATAGTACACTCTAACATATTTTAACTAAATCCAAATGTACTAAAATGGGCTCAGCTCTACAAACAGAGCATGTTTTGTTGTTTCATTTCACTGGCAGAGGTTCAGTGAAAATGTGAGTAGATATGTTAACTGTAAAGGTGAGGCTGCCTATCTGCTCGATGAGGGCTCTTCACCAGCTCAGGAATGACCAAGCCTCATTTGTATAATTTTCATTTGTATAAAGTACTCACCCGTAGCATTTTAATTTGCAGGGTCCCCTGATCCTGTATGGATGTTCTAGGATCTCTGCCCAGGAAAGTGAATCCTTCCTTTAACCAGCTAATAACAGGAAGTGGGTCACCAGTCGCCTTACATTTCAGCAAAGCTGTCCCATCTACCGCTAATGTCTGGTTGACTGGCCCCTGAAGAATGATGGGTGGAGGCCTGTCTGTTAAAACTAAGTGAGAACACAAAACATTATTATTTTTTTTCCTTTTTAGAATCACATATAGTAGTTAGCATCTCATTTGCAAGAACAGACTTGCATATGTTTTTCAGACAGGCCAATACACTATTTCACTAATCAGGAAAACATTAAAAAATATGTGCTTAGATCCTGTTAAAGCCAACAATAAGCATGTGCTTAAATCCTTTCTTAAATAAGTATGTCTTCCAGAATCAGGGCCTAAAAGTGGAAGGTTGGTTAAAAAAAAAAAAAAGGTAACACAGATCCCAATTAACTTTATTTGGTTAGTTAAAAGTGGATATTGGATCAAAATTTCCTATTCATGCTCCATCAACAAATATTTTTCAGCTGAAAACATCTAACAGTAAAATAAAATCTCTTCATAATTTTGAGCACCCTAACTGATTGCACTGCTCTCTCCAATGGGGAACAATTCCAATTTAATCAAGCTGTCTAGCTGCTTACTTATCAAATCATTTCATCACCTTTTAAGACCATGAACTCTGCTATTTTTCTCCTAATATTTTACATTTGCATGCTTGAAATATTTCATAAAGGACTCTGTAACCAGTGAGTGCATGGCTGCCTATAAGCCTCATTCTGCTACCAGTGGGATATCTAGAAAATGAGGTAAATGCTTATGTTCACTTTTCTTGCAAGAACAATTTTTCATTAATAATTCCGCTGTTGAACCTATTCCCTGTGCCATCTGTTAAGCAGAAAAAATATATACTTCTTTGTTTCTATAGGATGGATTTAAACAAAAAAGAAAGTAAAATACAAGATCATGAACAAGGGGCTAGATTCTTTATTGTCATCAACCAATTCAAACCAGCATAAAAATCAGTGTAAGCGTATTGAGAATCTGTCCTCAAATGTTTAGTTTCCACACTGATACTGTTTTAAATCTCTGAACAAGACTATTTGGCATCTGAATGAAAATATTCTAATAATTGCAACCACCTTCTTTGTGGGTGTAAATTGCCATCATGGATGTCATTGGAGCTATATCCCTTTACACTATCTACACATCTTATTCAATGCATTTAGCATTTTGATTTCTCATAAGAATCTTCATTCCATATACAGTTTAAGAAATAGGTAAGGGTTAATAAGAACTAGAGTTCTTCAATCCACCCTTTTCACCTCCATAAAAACTGTTCTGGATCTCTGATGTAACAACAATCCTAAGCAGTTTTCTTTATATGAGAAGATAACCTGTAATTATAATACTTTGGACTATGATCTCATCAAACTTACTGAAATTGAAAATTTCACATTTAAATAAAAAACTAATCCAAATGATTTATTATTGTACAAAATGATAACTGCCCTGGAAATTCTGAAATGCAGTACATTGAATTCAGAAATGAAATAGGAACCAGTTTGACACACAAGGGCACACAATGGGATTCATTTTCAATTCAGCATGCGTTTTTATATTTCAGTAGTTAAGTAGACATATCACACAACTGTTGATGAGTGTCCATGGCTTCATACACATTTTCAGATGATCTGGGAGAATTTTACTGGGTTTGTTTTCCTAGTAGAAAAACTAACTCAGAGATTCCTGAATAGACATGCTGAGCCAGTGAAGGGCAGAGAGTTTGCAGTGCTGATGCTGCAGAACCAGAAGCCCCCTATGCACATCTCAGCATGTTCTGCAGACTCCCTCACTTGGCAGCAGGGCACAAGGCAGCCCTGATTGTCTGACTGAGACTGCTCAGGCTCAGCTTGGGTCCCCATGCAACACAATGTGGAAATTATGAAGGGGGCACATTCTGCTTTCTGCTTGGCTGGAGCAGTATAGTCTAGCCCAAGCAGCACACTGTCTGCCTGGGAGAGGCAGAAACAAATAACTCTGGGATGCTAGAGGGCTGTGCTGTGGCTTCTCTCAGAAGGAAACGTGACATCCACTCCCCCAGGAGAAACTATCCTGGGATAAATTTAACCCTGGTTGTTCAAGGATTATTTTGCTCAAGGAACATCATTTTTTTCTCTGAGAGAAAAACCCTTGACATCTATACACTCATAGTTTCTACTTGAAGCACAGTGACTTTTCGAAGAGAAACTGAATGTTTGCATGTGGTCTCTAATGCATGCATTTTGAGATACAGCATTTTGGTCACATTTTATACTATAATTGTAGAAGTACATGTTATACAATAGAACAAAAGAAAATACTTTTAGCATAAGTATAATCAGGGGAAGAGATATCCACAGAAGTTCCCATTTAGATTTTTAATGCAGAGCAATGAGTCTTTCAGTTTTCAACTTGAGTAGATATGGATTTAAGAATGAAAACATATAATTGCTTACATTTATAACTATACCTCTTTAGTTATTCGTGGAAACTAATTCTCTTTTATATGTGTAGCGATGAAGGCATTTTAAAAGCCTATTGCATTTTAGATATTGCTCTTTGGCATCTAATTAGTTTTTTTACTGTCCAAATGAGTAGCTCATAATCCTTTAAATAGGCTTGATCAATAAAGTAATTGAAAATCTCCTGGCAAGAAGGAATCTTCATTTTCAAGGGTGTTATGGGTGAAAAACTACTACAGTTTTCCATGACACTAAAGGCTAAAGGTTAAATGAACACTTAGGGTTTCCAGTGAACTG